AAAACAATTGTCGCAATGATAATAATAATGATAATAGTAATAATGATAATAATAACAATAGAAATAATAGCAATAGTAATATCAAAAGCAAAAGATAATAATATCAATGATAATGAGCAAGGATAAAATAATAATAATAATAATAATAATAATAATAATAATAATAATAATAATAATAATAATAATAATGATAATTATGATAAAAATAATGACAATTATAATAATAACAACAACAACAATGATAATAACAATAGTAGCAATAACACCAGACAAATACAAAAGACAACCCAAACAACAACAACAAAAAAGTGAAAACTCAAAATCCTTTCCTCTCCTGATCACCTGATCACTAAGCCACGTAAATAAAAAATGAAAACTCAAAAATCATTTTCTCTCGTCGTCACTTTCAACACCTGGGACCTAAGCCACGCCAAGCAGAGTACTTTCGCCATCATGTACAAAGTACTTTCACTCCCTCTCCTTGTTACTCCGGGCGGGTGCTCTCAAAGCCGCTGTCTATAGCCTTCCGATTCGCCAATACGCACCGATTGGGGTTACCGAATCCCTTAAAAAATAACTGTACCGAATCCCTAAAAATAGATGTAAAGGGGGATTGGAGTTGTGAGACCGAATGTGAATACACACTAATTGGGGTTAGCGAATCCCTTAAAAAGTAACTGTAAAGGAGGATTGGAGCTGAGAGATCGAGTAAAAATACACACCGATTGAGATTATCGAATCCCTAAAAATAATTATAAAGGGGGATTGGACCTGCCAGACCGTATGTGAGTGAACACAGATTGGGGTTAGCGATAAAGGATTAAAACTGAGAGATCGAATGATAATATACACTGATTGGGTTTATCGAATCCCTAAAAATAACTGTAAAGGAGGATTAAAAGTGAGAGATCGAATAAAAATACACATCGATTGGGTTTATCGAATCAATAAAAATAACTGTAATAATAATAATCATAAAGGAGGATTGGAGTTGCGAGATCGAGTGAAAATACACACCGATTGGCTTTATCGAATCCTTAAAAATAACTACTGGAGCTGCGAGACCGTATGTGAAGACACACCGATTGGATATATCAAATCCCTAAAGACAATTTTAATGGAGGATTGAAAGTGAGAGATCGAATAAAATACTCACCGATTAGGGTTATCGAATCCCTAAAAATAATTATAAACGGGGATTGGAGATGCCAGACCGTATGTGAATGCACACCGATTGGGGTTATCGAATCCCTAAAAACAATTATAAAGGATGATTGAAAGTGAGAGATCGAATAAAAATACACACCGATTAGTTTTATCGAATCCTTAAAAATAACTATTGGAGCTGCGAGACCGTATGTGAAGACACACCGATTGGGGATATCGAATCCCTAAAAATAACTAAGAAAGAGGATTGAAAGTGAGAGATCGAGTGAAAATACACACTGATTAGGTTTATCGAATCCCTAAAACTAATTATAAAGGGGGATTGGAGCTGCTAGATCGTATGTGAATACACTGATTGGGTTTATCGAATCCCTAAAAATAACTATAAAAGGATTAAAACTGAGAGATCGAATGAGAATATACACTGATTGGGTTTATCGAATCCCTAAAAATAACTGTAATGGAGGATTTGAACCTGAGAGATCTAATGAAAATAACAAAAGTAGCGGTATAGACGTTTTTTGTTTGTTTAGATTTGGTATCATAGTTGAATGTAATTTGGTATCATTTATCGATGCAATGACAGTGAATTATATTAAAGTGAAAAACAACATCATTATTGACGATCTCTTTTGAATATTACATGATAATAATTCTAGGCCCACTGAAATAATAATAATGACAGTGATAGCAATAATGACAATGATGATTACTATCATAATAATAATAATAATAATAATAATAATAATAATAATAATAATAATAATAATAATAATAATGACATATAAATAATAATAATAATAATATAATAATAATAATATAATAATTAATAACAATAATATAATGATAATACAATGATGATAATATATAACGATAATAATAAAACAATAACAACAATAATAAGAAAAATAGAAATACCAGAAACACACGAAAAGACCCTCAAAAATCACCGTAATTATACCAACCGCACTGAGCACATACAGTGAACCGCACATGAAACGGGTCATCAAGAGAAGCCAATACCAGGGAAGCTGCGCGTAAGGGAAATAATTGTAGGCTTGGCGTCCACGAGAATCGACCTTATTGCCCAATACGTGGAAACCCGTACTTCACAGCCCCAAGATGAAGTCAATTACAAATGTATCCAAAACGGGTAGCTTTTAATTGATGCTTCTAATCGTGGGTAAATAAAGTAAATTAAGCCGAAATGACAGGTGGTGCATCTACGTGTAATTAAGGTTTGTGTTCAATGATTAACACAGATTCGAGAGCAATTTGCTTTCGAATTTAAAAGGTTGTGGCATCTGGTAGATATTTCTTTGGGTATCTGTTTCCTTTATGCTGTTTATTATCTCATTTTCTGTCTGTATGTCTGCCTGTCTGTCTCTCGTCTCTCTTTCTTCTTGTCCCCTTCTATCTCTCGTCTCTTGTCTCTCGTCTCTCTTTCTCTCTCTCTCTCTCTCTCTCTCTCCCTTTCTCTTCCTCTATCTATTTTTATATCTATCTATCTATCTCTCTTTCCATCTATCTATCCATCTATCTATCTATCTATCTATCTATCTATCTATCTATCTATCTATCTATCTATCTATCTATCTATCTATCTATCTATCTATCTATCTATCTATCTATCTATCTATCTCTATCTCTATCTATCTATCTATCTATCTATATCTATCTATCTATCTATCTATCTATCTATCTATCTATCTATCTATCTATCTATCTATCTTCTTTCTTCTTCTTCTTTTTCTTTCTTCTTTTTCTTTCTTTCTTTCTTTCATCTATCTATCTATCTATCTATCTATCTTTCTATCTACGTAACTTTCGTTCGCTAAAATGGACTTCGCACTCTATTAAAAAAAAAAAAAAAAAAAAAAAAAAAAAAGTGCATCGAATCAATTTTGTTTTAAAGGAAATTAATAACCGAATCAGCAAACACGTACATAAATAAGTAAAAGGAAAAAAGCAATACAAAATATAAACATATAAACAAATGAGTAAAGAATAAACATGATAACGATAATAAAACTGTGATAAAAATAACTACAGTAGCAATAACAAGCACATTTAAAAATCAATACACAAAATAGACATAAGCAAATGAGTAAAGAATAAACACGATAACGATAATAAAACTATGATAAAAATAACTACAGTAGCAATAACAAGCACATTTATAATCCTATCAGAAAACAATAACACAACTCTCGTATTATCTCCATAATGGAAATCTTTATTGAATATTTTGGTCAAATCATCCAATGTCTCCACCGCCTTGGATGAGATGCAAATTTGTTCCTTATGCCAATACATTCGAAAGGCGAATTATCCTTTTATCGAGACTGACTCCTGATTGAGTGTGAATTATTCAGAAACTGTTAATTAGAGTGATTAAGCTCTTAATGGAGCTTTTCATTTTTTCTTGGTAATTAGTTTCCTATTCATGTTGGCTGTGTACTTTCGTACTCTCCCTCTCTCTCTCTCTCTCTCTATCTATCTCACTCTCTGTCTCTCTCTTTTTTCTCTCTCTCTCACTCACTGTCTCTCTCTATCTCACTCAATCACTCACTCACTCACTCTCTCTCTCTCTCTCTCTTTCTCTCTCTCTCTCTCTCTCATCCTCTGTCTCTCTCTTCTCCTCTGTCTGTCTGTCTGTCTCTCTCTCTCTCTCTGTCTGTCTGTTTGTCTCTCTCTCTCTCTCTATCTATCTATCACCATCTCTCCCTCCCCCTCCTTCTCTCTCTCTCTATCTATCTCCATTCCCCCTCTCTCCTCCCTATCTCTCCCTCTTCCCATCCCTCCCCCCTCTCCCTCCCCATATCACCACCTCCCCATATCACCACCTCCCCTCCTCCACCCTCCCCCTCCCCAAATCCATTATTCCACACGCACCATAAAGTCATCACAAAACCATCACTCTTCACCACGCGCGACCCGGCATACCCAGCCTCCCTCGCTCGTCATCACCCTGGCATCACCCTGGCACCACCCTGGCACCCCATTTCCCTTCCTGCCTCCTTGATAGAGTGTCTGTGATAATTTGCTTTGGGAGAGAGAGAAGGGGAGGGAGGGAGGGAGGGAGGGAGGGAAGGGAGGAGGGAGGAGGGAGGAAGGGAGGGAGAGAGAGAGGAGAGGAGAGAGGGAGAAAGGGAGGGAGGGAGAGAAGGAGGGAGGAGGGAGAGGAGAGGGAGAGGGAGGAAGGGAGGAAGGGAGGAAGGGAGAGGGAAGATGGAAGGGAGGAATGGAGGAATAGAGGAGGGAGGGAGGGAGAAGGATATCTATATCTATATCTATATCTATCTATATCTCTATCTATCTATCTATTATCTATCTATCTATCTATCTATCTATCTATCTATCTATCTATCTATCTATATATATATATATATGAGAGAGAGAGAGAGAGAGAGAGAGAGAGAGAGAGAGAGAGAGAGAGAGAGAGAGAGAGAGAGAGAGAGAAGAGAGAGAGAGAGAGAGAGAGAGAGAGAGAGAGAGAGAGAGAGAGAGCGAGAAAAGAAAGAGAGAAAGAGAGAATGAGAAAAGAAAGAAAGAGAAGAACGAGAGAGAAGGATAGAGAGAACGAGAGACAGACAAGACAGCCAAACAGCCAAGACAGCCAAGACAATGCGAACAAGAACTTAAGAAACCGAGAGGACGGCTCGCGGGGCCACACTCACCCAGAAAAAGAGAGAACGAGAGAGAACGAGAGAGAACGAAAGAGAAAGCGAAATAAAGAAAGACAGCCAAACAGCCAAGACAGCCAAGAAACGAGAGAACTTAAAAAACCCCTAACGAGAGGCCGGCCGGCTCGCTCGCGGGGCCACACTCACCCAGGGGCCGTTCCAGCGTCTTGGAGGGCGTCCTGACGATGGGCAGGGAGGTGCGGGGCTTCAGGTTCCTCCCTCTGCCGGTCGAGGACGTCTCCGCCTCGCTCATGATCCCCGGGTCCTCGTCCCAGTAGCTGTTGTCGTCCATTTCTGATGGGGAGAGAGAGAGAGAGGGGAGAGAGGGGAAGGGGTTAGTCAGTTTCGTTCTTGGTTTTAGTATTGGTGTTGTTGTTGTTATTATCTTTTTTGTTATTCTTTATTTTTGTATTTATCATTATTATTATTATTATTATTATTATTATTATTATTATCATTACTTATTGCTTTATTCTTTATTTTTCGATTTTGCAGCAATCATATGTTTTCGCTTTTACAACAATCATATATTCTCGCTCTTACAACAATCACATATCATCGCTCTTACAACAACCATATATTATCTCTATTACAATCACATATTCTCGCTCTTATAACAATCACATATTCTACCTTATACAACAATCCTATATTCTCGCTCTTACACCAATAATATATTTTCACTTTTACAACAATCACATATTATCGCTCTTACACCAACAACAATAATACATTTTATCTATTACAATCACATATTCTCGCTCTTACAACAATCCTATATTCTACCTTATACAACAATCCTATATTTTCGCTCTTACAACAATTACATATTATCTCTTTTACAGCAATCCCATATTCTCGCCTCTTAGCTCTTGCAACAAATATATTTTCGCCTTTACAACAATCACATATTCTCGTTCTTACAACAATCACATATTCTCGCTCTTACAACAATAAAATATTCTCGCTCTTACAACAATCCTATATTTTCTCTATTACAATCACATATTCTCGCTCTTACACCAATCACATATCATCGCTCATACAACAATCCTATATTTTCTCTATCACAATCACATATTCTCGCCTCTTACAACAATCCCACATTTCGCTTTTTATTCCCCACCGAAACGCATTGAGCGCGAACGCCCCCGGGGCCCTTCCCGATACCCCCCCCCCCCCCCGAGCGAAAACTATGAAGGAAACAATATTTTGGACTTTGCCAATTGACAGAGCTCGGGAGGGAAGGAGGTGGACGTGTAATCTCTGCTAAAAAAAAAAAGAGAGAGAGAGAAGGAGAGAGAGGGAGGGAAGGAGAGAGAGGGAGGGAGGGAGGGAGAGAGAGGGAGAGAGAGGGGGGGGGGAGGGAGGGAGAAGGAGGGAGAGGGAGAGAGAGGGAGAGGGAGAGAGAGAAGGAGAGAGAGGGAGGGAAGGAGAGAGGGAGGGAGGGAGGGAGGGAGGGAGGGAGAGAGGAGAGAGAGAGAGAGAGAGAGAGAGAGAGAGAGAGAGAGAGAGAGAGAGAGAGAGAGAGAGAGAGAGAGAGAGAGAAAGAGAGGGAAAGAGAGGGAAAGAGAGGGATAGGGGGAGAGAGAGAGAGAGAGAGAGAGAGAGAGAGAGAGAGAGAGAGAGAGAGAGAGAGAGAGAGAGAGAGAGAGAGAGAGAGAGAGAGAGAGAGAAAGAGAGAGAGAGAGAGGAGGGAGAGGGAGAGAGGGAGGGTGGAGGGGTGTGGAGGGAGGAGGGAGGGAGGGAGGAGGGAGAGAGAGAGAGAGAGAGAGAGAGAGAGAGAGAGAGAGAGAGAGAGAAGAGAGAGAGAGAGAGAGAGAGAGAGAGAGAGCGAGCGAATGAGAGAGAGATAGAGAGCGACAGCGAAAACGAAACCGAAAACGAAACGAGCCAACAAACCAACAAGGGAAATGGAACGAAACAACGAAACGAGACAACGAAACGAATCAACGAAACGAGACAACGAAACGAGACGACGAAACGAATCAACGAAACGAGACGAGACAACGAAACGAAACAACGAAACGAAACAACGAAACGAGACAACGAAACGAGACAACGCAACGAAACAAGGAAACGAAACAACGAAACGAAACAACGAAACGAATCAACGAAACGAGACAACGAAACGAGACGAGACAACGAGACACATTTGCTCAAAACCACAGAATTTGTTAATATAATATATGCCTATATTTATAAAAATATATATTTATAAATTTATAAAAATATGCCCCTCGGATTTCTTCGTTTCTCGCTCGCTTCGTTAAGTTTCTGATTAATTTCTTTCTTTCGATATTTCATTTCGAATGTAAATGAAGTGACGCTAATAAGAGAAATTTGGATATTGTTTGTTCTTTGTTTTTGTTTTTGTTGTCTCGAGTTATCTTTTTGTTGTTGTTGTTGGTTTTGTATTTTGCTTTTATTTATTTATTTATCTATCTCTTCAATTCTTTTGCTCTCTTATTAATCTATTTTTGTTATTCCATCTTTTCATTTATCTTTCTCGCGTTATCATTTTTTTTGTGTGTGTGTGTGCGTGTGCGCGTGTGCGTGTGTGTGTGTGTGTGTGTGCGTGTGCGTGTGTGTGTGCGTGTGTGCTTGTGCTTATGCGTGTATGTGTTCGTGTGTCTGTGTATGTATCTACATGTACGTATGCGTTTACGTGTGAGTGTGAGTGTACATTTGCGTGTACGTGTGCCCTTCCCTATGCATATCCCTTGACATGTGCGCTTGCCCCTGCCTGTGCATACACGTGTGCGTATGTGTGTGCGTGTGTACTTCATTTGGTTCGCATATGTGCCCCGCCCTCGGTGTAAATGCGACTGTGATTGTAATATTTACCCAACACGAAGTTGCTATGCCATATGGAGGGGATAATGGGGGGGGGGATGGGAGAGGGGAGGGGATGGGAGAGGGAGAGGGGGGGGGTGGAGAGTGGAGGGGTGTGTGGAGAGGGAGAGGGTGGAGGAGGCGGGGGGGAGAGGGGGAGAGGGGAGGAGGGGATGGAGGAGGGGAAGGGTGGGGTGAGAGAGCCCCCCTTTTTTTAGCTATAAATGACCACGTTTCGTACAAATGATGAATAAATGAATGTGGATAAACATGTGAATGAGTTCACAATATTTTCTATTCTAATATTACCCAACACGAAGTTGCTATGCCATATGGAGGGGATAATGGGGGGAGAGGGGAGAGACGGAGGGTGTGTGGAAGGGGGAGAGGGGAGAGGGGTGGGTGGGAGAGGGGAGAAGAGGGTGTGGGAGAGGGGAGAGGGGTGGGTGGAGAGGGGAAGAGGGGTGGGGGGGAGAGGGGGGGGAGGGAGAGGGGGGATGGGGAGAGGGGAGGGGGGTGATGGAAGAGGGGAGAGGGGGGTGATGGAAGAGGGAGGAGGGGGGTGATGGAAGAGGGGAGGAGGGGGGGGGTGAGAGAGCCCCCCTTTTTAGCTTATAAATGGCCACGTTTCATACAAATGATAAATTAATAAATGTGAATAAACATGGGAACGAGTTCATTACTTTACGGATGAATGAATGAATGGATTAATAAACAAATGAATTAATTTGATAAACACAAAGACACAAATTAAATCAATGAGAGGATATGTGAATAAATGATTAAGAATGACAAATAGATAATTAAATAAAAAGATAGGAACTCAAATGAATAAACAAATAAATGATTAAATAAACAAATAATTAAACACTAATATAAACAAATAAATGAAAACATGAACAAACCTCCAACAATTAGATAAATAAGCAAATGAATGAAGCAATTAATAAACAAATAAAGAAATTAAAAACAAACAATAAACATATGCAAAAACAAGTAACAAATAAATAGATATACAAAACAAATAAACCAACAAACATATAAACAAACAAATACACCAGTCAACAAACAAACAAAAAACAGAAAATAAATAATCAAACAAATAAACAACCAAAAAAACAATAAACACAAGCAAACAAATAAACGACTAAACAAACACAAACAAACAAAATAAACAAATAAATAAAGAAAGAAACAAACAAACGTGTGTGTGCTAAATAGGTAGAAAACAAATAATCGAACAGCAACACAAACCGATCAATAACAAAAAAAAGCACCAGAGAGGAGCGAGAACCACGTGATCCGATCCCCTAAGAAGACCAGCTGATCAAGTGTCTCTCCCGGTCACGTGATTCCCGACCAATGGGTCAGCCAAGCCTTCCCCCCTTCCCTCCCTCCTTCTCTCTTTCTCTCCCTCATTCCTACTCTCCATCTTTCCTTCCCTCCCTCATTCCTACTCTCCATCCCTCATTCCTTTCTTCCCTCCTTCCCCGCTTCCCTCCCTCCTTCCTTCCCTCCCTCCCTTCCTCCCCTTCCTCCCTCATTCCCTCTTCCTCATTCCTCTTCCCTTCCTCCTCTCCCTTCCCTCCCTCCTTACAAGAATTGGCTCCTCCATCTTGGCCCTCGAAGACTGTCTGAAAGGTCTCATCTGTCTACGTCCGACCTTCAAGCTTTTTTTTTTTATTTCTGGCGAGAGAGAAGAGAGAGGAGAGGAGAGAGAGAGAAGAGAGAGAGAGAGAGAGAGAGAGAGAGAGAGAGAGAGAGAGAGAGAGAGAGAGAGAGAGAGAGAGAGAGAGAAGAGAGAGGAAGAGAGAGAGAGAGAGAGAGAGAGAGAGAGAGAGAGAGAGAGAGAGAGGAGAGAGAGAGAGAGAGAGAGAGAGAGAGAGAGAGAGAGAGAGGAGAGAGGAGAGGAGAGAGAGGAGAGAGAGAGGGAGGGAAGAGGAAGAGAGAGAGAGAGAGAGAGGAGGGAGGGAGAGGGAGAGAGAGAGAGAGAGAGAGAGAGAGAGAGGAGAGAGAGAAGAGAGAGAGAGAGAGAGAGAGAGAGAGAGAGAGAGAGAGAGAGCAGGGGGCAGATCTTTATCAACAAAACCATACATTTCCATTAACCAATAATGCTTCCATATTCAAATCAATATCAAAATTTCCATTTCTCTCTCTCTCTCTCTCTCTCTCTCTCTCTCTCTCTCTCCTGCCCCCCCTCATTCCCATTCGATAAAAATATAGTTCATAGGCGCATACAGCATCACACATGGAACCCCCCCCCCCCAAACCCCAGAACCATAAAAGGAAGCCCAAAGCCCAACCCCCAGACCCCAGAGCATAACCCATAGCCCAAATTCCGAGAGCCAAATCCCAGCCCACTAAGCCCATTATACGAAGCCCAAATTCTAACCCCCAAAACCCTATAACAACAAAACGAAGCCCAAAGACCAACCCCAAACCCCAGTCATAACCCGAAGCCCAAATTCTAACCCCAAAACCCCAGACCGTAATACAAAGCCCAAATTCTAACCCCCCCCCAAAAAAAAAAAACCCAGAGTCATAACACCGAAGCCCAAATTCCAACCAAGCCTAACCCGCCAACCCAATTACCCCCCCCCCCCGCCCCCGCCCCCCCCCCTCCAAAAAAAAGCCCAGGAAAATCGCATTGAAGACCCGATAAATGCCTCCCTTACCACCCTCCACCACCCCCTCTCCCCCACCACCCCAACCCCCTCGCCCACCACCCCGGAGTGCATGATCCGAGGACTAGATATAATGCCTCCCTTACCTCCCCCTACCTTACCACCCCCACCCAAACCCCCACCACCACCCCCACCCCTCACCCCCACCACCCCTCCAGAGTGCACGATCCTCCCATCGAGTTCGGCCGAAAAATTCCCCTCCTTTTCATGCAGGATCCGGCGCGGGATGAGGCGGGATGGAAGGATCCCCTGATTTCATTTCGCTCGCGTAAGGATAGGGGTGAAAGGAGGGGGTGGGAGGGGGCGTAGGATAGAGGGGGGGAGGGGGGTGGGCAGTGGGCTAGAAAGTGGGGTGGAGAGGGGGTGGGTAGGAAAGAGGGGGGTTGGGAAAGTGGGTGGGGGAGGGGGTGGGTTGGAAAGTGGGTGGGGGGAGGATGAGGAGGTGGAGGGAGGAGGGGATGGGGAGAGGAGAGGAGGAGGGTATGGGGGTTGGTGTGGGGAGGGGTGTGGAGGAGGATGGGGAGGGGATGGGAGGAGGGGATAGGGGGTTAGTGGGGGAGGAGAGGAGGGGAGGAGGGAAAGGGAGGGTTGGAGAGAGGGAAGAAGGGTTGAAGTAAACACGCAGCGTAGGCGGGAGAGAGGGAGAGAGGGAGGAGAGGGAAGGGAAGTGAGAGAGAGAGGAAGAGGAGGGAGGAATGGTAGAGAGGAGAGGAAAGAGAGGAGAGAGGAGAAGAAGAGAGAGGGAGAGAGGGAGGACGGTAGAGAGAGAGGAAGAAGGGAGAGAGGAGAGGAAGAAAGGGAGAGAGAGAGAGGAAAAGAGGAAGGGAGGGAAGAGAGGGAGAGAAGGAGGGAGGGAAGGACGGTAGAGAAGGAGAGGAAGAGAGGAAGAGACGGTAGAGAGGAGAGGAAGAGACGGTAGAGAGGAGAGAAAGAGAGGGAGTGGAGGGAAGAGAGAGAGGGAGAGGGAGGGACGGTAGAGAGAAGGAGGGAGGAACGGTAGAGAGGAGAGGAAGAGAGGAAGAGAGGGAGTGGAGAGGAAGGGAGGGGAGGGGAGGGGGAAAACCTGCTTTTAACCTATAACGAACAAACCTTATAAAACCGAAACCTTTCTTTCGACCATGAAGGGATTTTGCTCAATCGACGCGCCGGGCACGAGGTAACGACGAAGAGAGAAGAGGGGGGGGAAGGAAGGGGAAGGGGAGGGGAAGGGGAAGAGGGAAGGGAGGGAGATAGGAATAGGGAGGGAATGGAGAAGAGGGGAAGGAAAGGGGAGGGAGGGGGAGGAGAAGGGAAAGAAAGAAAGGAAAGGGGGGGGGGAAAGAGGGGAGAGAAAGAGAGGAGGAGGAGGGAGAAAGAAAAAGAGGGAAAGAGGGAAGGGAAGAAAGGAAGGGGAGAAGGAAAGGGAGAAGAGGAGAAGAAAGGAAAGGGGAGAGGGGAAGGAGGAGAAGAAGGAAGGAGAAGGCAGGAGAAAGGAGAAGGGAGGGAGGGGAGGAGGAAGGAAGAGGGGAGGAGGAGGGGAAGGGGAGAGGGGAAGGGGAAGAAAAAGGAAGAGGGGGAGGAGGAGAGAAGGAAGAGGGGGAGAGGGAAGGAGGGAGAAAAGGAAGAGGGGGAGGAGGAAAGAGGGAGAAAGGAAGACGGAGAGGGGGTGAGGGAGGGGAGAGAAAGGAAGAGAAAAAAAGAGAAGGGGAGAAAGGAAGGAAGAAGAGAGGAAGGGAGAAAGGAATAGGGGGAGGGAAGGGAAGGAGGGGAGAAAGGGGGAGAAAGGGGGAGAGGGGGAAAAAAAAGGAAGGTGGAGAGAGGTGAGGGGGAGAAAGAAAAAAAGGGGGAGGGAAAGGGAGAAGGAGAGGGGAAGGGGGAAAAAAGAAAAGGGGGAGAAGGAGAGAAAATAAGAGAGCACGAGGGTGGGGAAGGAAAGAAGAGAGGAAGGGAAAAAGGAAGAGGGAAGGAGGGGAAGAGGGGTTGAGGGAGAAAGTAAGAGGGAAAAAGAGTGGGGAAAAAAGGGAAGGAGAGAGGAAGGGAGAAAGAGAGGGAGAACGGAAGAGGGGAGAAGAGGATAAAATGAAGTGGGGAGGAAGGGTGGAGGGGAGAAAGGAAGACAGGAGGAAGGGTGGGGAAGAAAGGAAGAAGGGAGGAGGGAAGAAAGAAAGAAAGGAAAGGAGGGAAGTAGGGAAAAAAAGAAAATACGAAGAGGAGACGAAAAAGAAAGAGGAAATAAAGGTACGGACAAGAAAATAAGACGAAAAAAAAGAAGATAAAGGCGAAAAAAGAAAGAGAGAAAGGGAGAATGAAGAATTCCCCCCCCCACCCCCCTCCCCTCATCTTTTCCCTCTTTCTTAAACAAATTGACTGATCTGTCACTCTTTCTCAACCCGTATCCAGAGAAGGTGGTAATGTGGCGAAATTCGGGTCGTGTTCTGGGAGGAGAACTTCGTGACAACCGCTATTTCCTCTGAGGTGTGGGCTGGGAGAGAGGGAGAGAGAGGGGAGGGAGGGAGGGAGGAGGGAGGGGAAGGATGGGGGAGGGGGAAGGGAGGGAGGGAGGGAGAGGGGGATAGGGGGAAGGAGGAGGGAGGGAGAGGGAGGGAGGGAGGAGGGAGGGAGGGAGAGGAGGAGAGAGAGAGAGAGAGAGAGAGAGAGAGAGAGAGAGAGAGAGAGAGAGAGAGAGAAGAGGGGAGGGGGAGAGGACGAGAGAGAAGAGAGGGGGAGGAGGGGAGGGAGGGAGGGAGAAGGCATGGGGGGATGGGAGGGAGTGAGAGGTCGAGAGAGAGGAGAGAGAGAGAGGAGGCCAGAGGGAGACGAGCCGGAGAGAGAGAGGAGGAGAAGAGAGACGAGAGAGAGAGACGATGAGGCAGAGAGAGGAGAAAGAGGAGAGGAAGAAGAGATGAAGAGGTGGGGGCGGAGGGGCGAGCGAGCAGGTAGGGAGAAGGATGGCACAGGGAGGGAAGGAGAGAGGAGACGAGAAGGAGGGAGAAGACTGAGAACCGGAGGAGAGGGAGAGAAGCGAGAGAAGGCAAGCGAGATCTCGGGTTGAGAACACGGAGAGAGGAATAGCAGAGAGAGGAAGAGGAGAGTGCAGAGAGAGAGAGGAGAGGGGGGGGGGGAGGGAGTGAGGAGGAAGGGAAGGGAAGAGGGGAAGAGGAGGGAGGGAGGGAGCAGGAGAGGGAGGAAAGGAGGGAGGGAGAGGAATGAGAGGGGGGAAGGGAGGGAGGAGGGAGGAGGAGAGAGAAGAGAGGGATGGGAGGAGGAGGCGAGGAGGACGGGGAGAGGGGAAGGTGAGGGGGAAACAAAGAGGGAGGAAGGGAAGAGGGGAGGGAGGGGGATGAGGAGGGAAGGGAGGAGGATGGGGAGGGGGAAGGGATAGGAGAGGGAGGAAGGATAGGGTTGGAGGGGAAGAGGAAGGTGTGGGGGAGGGAGGGAGGGAGGGAGGGAGGAGGGGACGGAGGGATGAGAGAGAGAGACGAGGAAGAGAGAGAGGAGAGAGAGAGAATGAGAGACAAAAAGAGATGATGGCTCGAGGCCCCGAGGAAGAGAGAGAAGAGAGGGAGAGAGAGAGGGGAGAGGTGAGAGGGGAGAGGGGAGAGAGGGGAGAGAGAGGGGAGAAGAGAGGGAGTACGGGACGGAGGGAGGAGAGGGAAGAAGAGGATGAGGGGGCGAGGAGGAGAGGGGCGGGGGAGAGAGAGAGGGAGAAAAGGAGAGAGAGAAAGGGAGCGAGGGGTGGAGGAGACAAAGGGAAAGGAGAGAGAGGAAGAATGAGGAGGGGGGAGGGAGGGAAGGAGCGGAGGGAGGTAGGGGGAAGGAAGGAGGAAAGGGATCAGGGAGGGAGGGGAAGAGGGAGAAGAGAGAGAGAGGGAGGGGGAGGCAGGGAGGGGGAAAGGAGAGGGGAAGGGGAAGGAGCCGGAGGGAGGGTAAGGGAGGAATGGAGAGGGGAGAGCGGAGGAGGGAGGAGGAGGACGGAGGAGGAGAGAGAAGGAGATGAGGAGAAGGAGAGAGTGAGAGAGAGAGAGA